ACCTGGGAGGGTTGGTGGAGCTATCGCGGCACCTCGTGGTAGTTCTTGGGGGGGGTTAGCATACTATTCTATACTAGTATAAACTGAAATAATACGTCTGAGCTCAAGGCCGTAGGGTCCGGTGGATTTCGGGTACGGCTTCAGTTTACGCAGCGTCTGGGGCTTAAGGTGTGCTTAAAGCCTGAAGGGGGGTATAAATGGGGCAGAACGGGGACCTAGAAAGGGTTTAGAGTTGGGGCCTCTGCCACTCAATCTGTGGGGTACTGTAGACCCCGCGTGCTCATGCTGCAGGTCCTTCGGCTCCTGTGTCAGAGGATGCCCAGCTCAAGGATCGAGTAGTGTTTTGGGCTTCGGGTTTCAAGGGCCGTTTGAGTGGCCTTTTAGGGATCATTGGGGACCCGGAGTTTTGGGGCTTTCTTCTTGAGGGCCATGGCTCAGTCCTCCCATGGTTTTGAGCCCTCCTGGCGCGGTGGAGCCTTCTGGGCCTCGATGGCGGAGCGCAGTCCGGGGACTCCTAGAGAAGCTGAGGCGGACGGGTGCGAAGAGCCCAGGAGGAGTGGGAGTTCCGACGGGCGAAGTGGTGAAAACGCTGCGGCTCGCTTCAAATTCCTGGCCCTGGCTCACTGAGCTCTTGGATCGCCTTCGACTGCCACCGGGCTCCTGGCCCAGCATTCTGACTCCCACGGCTGGAATCGCCGGGTATGGCAAAGCCCAACGATGGCAAGAGGCACAGGAACTACTCTCCCGCGTGAAGGAAGGAGCCCGAGACCTCCGGCTCGATTCCGTGGCCCTCAGTGCTGCGATCGGTGCTGCTGAACGGGCGGCCTGCTGGGAACGGGCACTTCGCCTCATGAAAGAGCCGGAGGTTCAGCCAAGCAGTCGAGGATTCACCTCGGCTGCATCAGCCTGCGCTCGCCGGAGTGAGTGGACGACGACGCTACAACTTTTTAAAGACACGCCCGCGTCCAGCATCATGGGATGTACTGCTGCGGTTACTGGCTGCGAGAAGGCATCCCGCTGGAGCAAGGCAGTTCTACTGTCAGTGGCAGCGATGCAGCGAAGGCTCTCTTTGGATGACATGGCGCTGAATGGTGTTATGCAGGCATGTGCGGAAGGCGACGAATGGCAGCTGTGTCTTGAACTTGCGCTATCTGGAGATGTCGTGTCGCAAAACATTGTGACCAAAGCTTGTTCTGGTCCTCACTGGGTGCAGGCGATTCGCAGTCTATGCAGTATCGCGGAAAGGTTGGCCCAGGCAGACATGGTGGGGTACAGTGCCGCAATGCAAGCTTGCGGGGCTGAAAGGTGGTCCAGAGCGCAGGGCCTTTTTCAGGAGTTGAGGCTGCAGGAGCTTGAGCCGGACATCATCGCCTGTGGGTCCTGGCTCAACGTGTTGTCAGGGTGGGCGATGGCAGTAGCTGCCATGCAGGATCTCCTGCGGAATCAGTTTCAACCAGATGCGCCGGCTTACAACAGCTTAATCGGCGCTGAAGGGGGCAGCTGGTCCTTAGCATTCTCTCTGCTGCAGCTTCGAAATCGCTTCTTCGGGGTCGATGCAGTGAGTGCCGGTGTAGTCGTTCTAGCATGCAGTGCTGCCACTGTCTGGTCAACAGCATTCGACATTCTACAATCGCTCGTGCGCCATCGAACGGCACCCAACACCCGCTCCATCGCTGCGATGATGTCGGCTTGCGAACAGAACCAGCTGTTGCAGGTAAGAGATTCAGTGATGCAGATGCTGCCGGAAGCCGTCGTCGACGGCATCCCACCGCCGCCGAGCGCCTCGGTCGAGCTGCGTGCCGCGGTGCAGGCGATCCAAGGCGCCGTCGCCTCCGCGTCCGCAGCACCGCGACCCGTAGCCAGGCCTGCAGGCTCTGCGACAGGGCTTGGAAGGCTTGGGCTTTACCGGTACTTCAAGGAGTTGCAGCTCCTGCGCTATGTGTTGCGACATCTGCCGGAGTCTGATGCGGGGCTCGGTTGCAGAGCCCGGTCTGTGTGCACGGCCATCGAGGACTTTGGGCGGCAGGGGGGGAGCAGATGGCTCAAAGTCGCCGGGGATCGCAAGGCCCAGGTGCTGCTGGCATCGGTCTCTGGGGCGGAGGGAGACTCTGATGTCATGGAGATTGGCACCTACTGCGGCTACTCGGCACTTCGCATGGCCTTATGCTTAAGGCCGGGAGTTGCCATTCACAGCCTGGAGGCAGATCCGATCCACGTGGTCATCGCCAAAAACATTCTGGCCTTGGCTGGCAAAGAAGGAGAGGCGGTGCGTGTTTGGACCGGCCACAGCCAGGTTCTGCTGCCCTGCTGGCGCCGGGAGGCTCCTCTTTTTGGAGCCGTGTTTATGGATCAACGTGGCTCCCGCTACGACGAGGACTTAGATGTCCTAGAGAGGCGGGGCCTCCTCACTAGTGGGGCCGTGGTCGTTGCGGACAACGTCCTGAAACCTGGTGCACCGCTGTTCCTTTGGCGGCTACAAGCTCCCCTTTACAAATGCCAACTCCTGAGCTTGCAAGAGTTCGCAATGCCATGTGAAGATTGGATGTCCGTGAGCCTGCGACAGCCGGATTCAGGGAGCGCCTCCTCGCCTCTTTGTAGCGAGCCTCCGCCGTCGTTGTTGGAACTCCATTCAAGGGCGGAGACCATGCGAAAGCTCGCCACGAGACAGGGCGGTGCCAGCATCTCCTTCGAGGAGTGGTCTGCTTTCGCGCGCCGAATGCGGCGGTCTCTGGGTCTCCTTGGCATCAGCGCAACGGCCAGGCTCTCAGAGCCTGATAAAAGCGAGGCTGAGGCTGGTGACAAGAGGAGTTTGCAGCTTTATAATAGCTGTCTGCCTTCTTAGTATCCTTAGTATGGCATTATATGATGAACACTTACTACGATGTAGTTATATATATAAATATAAATAGATATAGATATAGATATATATATATATAGAGAGAGATAGATAGATAGATAGAGATATATATATATATGCCATTGCAGCTGAATTAACGGTTTACGTCGCCGTAGCACTCGCTTGTTAGGTAACTCTAGAGACTGCTCCTCTTGACCTACACAGGATCTGCCACAGAACATGGCTACAGCATGCTTGTATCGTAGCAGGTAGCACGTAGACCATGTTTGAACCTTCCTAACCCTAAACTCTAGAGCATTTTTGAACTTTCCTAACCCTAAACCCTAGAGCATTTTTGAACTTTCCTAACCCTAAACCCTAAACCCTAAACCCCAGACCATTTCTGAACCTTCCTAGGTCCGAGCGTCGGAGCAGACGCAACCTCATCAGGGTCTGGTTTCTCCCCGATTCGCATTGTTTCACGGTTTAGGGTTTGGGGTTTAGGGCGTTTACGGGAAGCGAGCCGCCCCTTCTTACATGGCAACAACCCTTTTTGGAACCTCTGATCGCTCCGGCCGCGGTCGAGGCGAAGAACAAAATCCCCCAAAACCTTTACACCACTAAAGCCTACTCAGGCCCTAAACACTAAACCCTGAACCTTAAACCCTATAAACCTGAAGCTCGAAACCCCAAACCCTGAACATTAAACCTTATAGACCCTAAACCCTAAACCCTAAACCTTAAACCCAAAAAACCTTAAACTCTAAGCCCTAAACCCCAAAGCAGAAGCCTCAAAGTTCAGAGGCGCCTGGCACTCCCCGACGAGCCCATCCGTCCGCGCCGAGCCTTCCTTGCTGCCTTTGCGTGCGGGTCCCTGATGCGATCTTCCCCAAGCCCTCCAGGTGCCTACTATATAGGGCCCTAGGGGCTCCAGTACCCTATATAGCAGGTACCTGGGGGGTTAGGCTTCGGGATTTGCCTATTTTTTCGGGGTTTTGAGGGTCAAAAGGGATGTAGGGTTTTAGGGTGTCTCAGGGGTTTTCCGGTCTGTAGCCTTTCAAGCCTGTGTTGGCAGCAGCAGCAGCAGTCCCACAGTTTAGCTGTTTCGAGCGTTGTAAACACTACAGTACAGTATGACTGGCAAACTCTAGGAGCCCTACGAAAAGCTTTTCATAACCCTAAACCCTGAACCCTAAACCCTAAACCCTAAACCCTAAACCATATCAGCGCCCGGCAAGCTGCAAACCCAATCAGATGTTTTGGTGCTCTCCGGGCTCTCGCGGTGCGGCTGCGAGAGGCCAGAAAAGACGACAGCACACCTCATAAGACTCATAAGGGTTTCACAACGGTTTCACAAGGGTTTCACAAGGGTTTCATAAGGGCTTCACAAGGGTTCCATAAGGGTTTCACAACGGTTGCATAAGGGTTTCATAAGGGTTTCACAAGGGTTTCATAAGGGTTTCGCAACGGTTGCATAAGGGTTTCATAAGGGTTTCACAAGGGTTTCATAAGGGTTTCACAGCTGTTTCATAAGGGTTTCATAAGGGTTTCACAAGGGTTTCATAAGGGTTTCGCAACTGTTTCATAAGGGTTTCATAAGGGCTTCACAAGGGTTCCATAATAAGGGTTTCACAACTGTTTCATAAGGGTTTCACAAGGGTTCCATAATAAGGGTTTCACAACTGTTTCATAAGGGTTTCATAAGGGTTTCACAAGGGTTCCATAATAAGGGTTTCGCAACGGTTTCATAAGGGTTTCATAAGGGTTTCGCAACGGTTTCATAAGGGTTTCATAAGGGTTTGAGGGCTTGAGGGCGTGGGAGTTGGGGCCTTACAGGTTTAGAGTTTCGGTGCGTCGGCCGTGTAAGTCACTTTGTGTCATTGGCTTTATGGTCTTTATGAGAACTTTATAATAACGTAATTGCTGTAGAAATCGCTTGGGTATTTCAGACGTGTAATGCCAGGACTTTACGCAGAAGACTGCTCTGTCATTGCATGATTGCCAGTGCCTTGGACTTAAACTGTAAACTGAGCTGAATTCATGTTTGGATCATTTGTTGTCATGTCCACCTTACAGGCTAGTGCTCCTCAGCTAGTGCTTGTGTTCTAGACGGCGGTCTACAATCATGGCATGTTTGCATTCCGTAGTCTTGCGAAGCCTTGAACCCTGAGCCTTATAAAGCCTCTGGCCTGGGATCCTAAGCCCAAGACGTACAGTATGTTACCTTAATCCCAAACCCTACACCCATCCTGATGCGCTAAATCGCCAGGAAACCTCGCCCCAAAAGCCAAACCCGAAGCTCATTTCCAAAACCGGTTTAGGGAGTCCTGAGGCCGAAACATAAGGTCTAGTGTCTGAGGTATAGTATCGGACTTAATGCTTCGGGTTCAGGCTTCAGGGCCTTCGTGGGTTGAGTTGGGTCTTGGGTTTGTTTCAGTATAGTGTCTACAAGGCTATAAGGCGCGTAGGGCTTAGGGTTTACAGCTCGGAGTTGACCGTTCACGATTCAAGCGCCTTTGCGCAACATTCCCTACAATAACCAACAGTTAAAGAATCCTACAATACGAACCCTGCCAAGAAACCTATGATACGAACTCCATACTCGATTGCCAGTTTTTGGTCGACAAGGCTCTTCACCGGTCTTAGCCGCAGAGGAAGCAACGCTAGCATCCTCCTTCAATCCCTGATGCACCCCCAAGCCGCCCAAGCCTTAACCAAAACATCCCGGCAGATGGTACAATCCGGAGATGCGCAACTGCTGGAAATGTCCCTGGCCGTCATGGGCGTTTGTACATGCGAGGCTCGCAATTTGGGGCCGTGATGGTTGCTTTTGTTTGGGGCTGTGCAGCTTTCATAGGTTTTTTATATAAGGGTTTCTCGTGTATTATGGTCCCTTTCGGGGAGGGTCCTTACAGAAAGCATACTATATTAGTGTTTATGAGTCCATACTCGGGTCCCCTATGGTATCTGAAACTGCTATTTCTAGTGCAACTGGAGAGAAATTTCCCATGGCTTTGCGACGGTGCAACTCCACCATAGCTATGGGTAGTTAACTCTGAGCTGGTGCTGCTGAGCAGCAAAAGAGCAGACCTCAATACCATGATCTTGCTCGATGCACGTCATCGTCCTCGATGCCAATTCCTGCTGGCTCACATTGGCAGCCGCTGCTTAGGCGAGGAGGGAGGAAACAGAGGGCAGATCTCGAATCATCCTCGAACTTCTTCACCAACCCTGTGCAAACCTACTCATGCGTAGAACTGACATTGCGATCCTTAAGCTGTGACCTGGACTCCGTACATCCGCAAACCTCAAACCCTTTGCCCGGAACCCCTACCCCCTAAGCCCCAACGAACAGCGTGCGCATGTGGATGCACGTCTTCGACAATACATATAGTATACACACATAGACGTGTACGTGTACATATGCTATGCATACTCATAGACATACACATATACACACACATACACACACACATGCATGAATGCATGCATGCATACATACATACATACATACATACATACATACATACCTACATACCTGCATGCGCACGTACATACATACGTGCATACATACATACTTGCATACATGCATACATACATACCTATAGGTACGTACGTACATACATACAGACATATATACAAAATCATACGTGCATAACCGTACTGGTAGCATAAACTTCCAAGTGTTCTTCTTGTCATTGCATATATTCTCAGCCATGGCTTGGCATCTCTCGGAGAGAAGTCTCCAAAGTGTCCAGGCTGCTCAAGGCGGCGGACAAAGTCCTGCTTCCTCACAGTACTTGGAGGTTCATGGGTAGTTATAAGTGAAGTTATAAGTCCCCTGATATGGGCTATAATTATAGTTACCCTGCTGATAACCCCACTTACAACTACCCATGAACCTCCAAGTAACGTACCTGCCATAGTTCCTGCAGTTCCTGCCAAGTTTAGGGTACTCAGGGCCAGGATTCTGCCCATCAGCTTGAAACAGTGCCTTGGGATTTTGGTCACAGTGGAAGTTCCCACAGGCGGGATTCGTTAGGGTCCTGCAAGAGAGCGGCCCCTGTGGGTTTATGCATATACCTATATATACAGATCTTGTGGAATCAGGCGCAGATGCTCCCGGTGTGTGACTGCGGTTTGAGACTAGTGAGATGCGCATGAAATCCCTGGTTGGTCCGTTAAAGCTACGTGGAAGTGCGACATCTGCAGCACAACTGCTGAAAATCTCGTCCGACTTCGTTTGCAGCCTTTCAGAAGCTCCGAAATCCTTGGAGCCTACGGTCAACTCGGTCTTGGGGGAATGGGTTATAGGGACTACTATAAGGGACCTTAAGGGACTACTGTTGATGATATAAATCCTGCATTACCCTAAGGGCCCTAAACTATGGGAAGTATGGTATATTTCTCACTATGGGTAATGCAGGATTTGTAACATCAACCGTATCATAGGGATACATTCCCCCATTCCCTACTAAGCACCAGATTGTCTTGAGCATGTGCAGGAAGAGCGCCAAGACTATTGAGACGATCTCGTGCTGCCAGCTTGGCCACGGCAGCTCTGATTTTCGCTCCATGGCCGGGTTGGTGTTTAGGGTTTAGGGTTTAGGGTTTAGGGTTTAGGGAGCTGGGGTGCAAAGAGTACGATGAGGTACTGCGGATGCTCTATTACTGCTCTTGCAGCTGTGTCTACTGCTACTGCCGGCGGCGATGAGTTGTTCTTCTTACACGTCGTAATGAAGCCGGTTATGATCGCACCTGTTGGGATCGGCACTGTCATTCTCATAGTGTTCTTGGATGTTCATGGGTAGTTATAAGTGGAGTTACAAGTCCCCTAATATGGGTTATAATTACAGTTACCCTACTTTTAACCCCACTTATAACTACCCATGAACCCTAAACCCTAAACCCTATAGAACCCTTTAAAGGAACCCTTAAAGGAACCCCAGATCTCCACTCATAACGACCCATGAACCTCCAAGTTGTTCCTGTGTTACAAGGTCGGCCTGCAAAGTCTGCTGACGAGTTCCACTGCGGCAGTGACTCACGGAGGCCGGGCGTGAGTCGTGCATAATGTAGGGGCCTGAATAATTCGAACAGGGTTTTGGGGCCCATCATACTGTACTTATACTAGGGAAGCCCTGGGGCCCATTATACTGTACTTATACTAAGGAACCCCCCAAAACTATGAGAAAGCGTCGCCGTGGAAATCTTTAAGCCGACTGGCGTGCGCGACTAGCAAGAGCCCCCTAGCGAGTTGCTACAGATCTCAGCAGAAGACTTACCGCTGGCCCTTTCTGGGGCTTTCAGATAGTTGCAGACTGTTTTATTAGGAGGGAAGAGATTTTGCCACAGGGGCCATTGCAGATAAGAGGGCCTGGAGTCCTCTAATTGCGAGAGCAGTCAAGGTAACAGCGGTTCATTGAGGTGTGCGTGTCTATATGTTCTTGCAAGTGAGTGCCTGCCCCTCCCCTCTAGCTGCACGGACGGCCGCAGAAGCGTGAACTCGAAGCAGTGGCAGTGCGACTCGACGTTTTGACATCCTACACAGTTGCCCACGGCATGCAAGCGTCATGGAGTTGGCTGTAACTTGGAGTACGCAGCTTCAGCTGGCATAAACTGCATGATCATTTGGAGGGGCTATGGCTCTAGGCACATAATCAAGCCCCACAGCACATCCCGATGCTCATTGCTGTCTTGCGAACAGAGGCCGCCCCGAGCGTGTGGTGTCGATCGACGACCTTCATTTTGATATCTCCATAACTGTGGCATGGATGTGGCAAAGCTGCAAATGGAATTGCAAGTCCGCGTATGCACCTGACACACTGAGACTGAGACTTGGCTGTACTCCTGTTTGCTTGACTCTAACTGCACAATACTCGTAGCCTTCAATAGCAAGGCCACGCGCCAAACTGTACGTTGAGAAGAAAGCTGAGGCTTCTTGGCGCCGTGGCTTTCATGATGGCTGCTGCCTTGGCTGTGCGATGTCTGAACACAACTACAAGTTGCATCAAACTGCCCTCAAGCGACAGTGCAGATTCTTTGCTGTCAGTCTCTTTTCTCTACCATCAACCTGAAGCAGTGTTCTACAAGAACACTGAAAACTACTCATGACTCATGACCGCTGATTCTCAGGCTCTCTTCTATTTGGTGAACAGCACCGACCCTGAAATCAGGCGAAGCCTGTTCAATCTGATTGAGGAAACCTGTTGCCGGAGATGGGTTTAGGGTTTAGGGTTACAGCACAAGACAATGTCAGGCTCAACTGGTGTTCCATACAGCTGGAAGCCCTGATTCCTAAAACCCTAAAGCCCTAAACTCCCGAGTTTGTTTCAGCCGGTCGGCCCGGGGACTAGTCAATCCAAAACATGGAACCCCAAAGCCGTAGTATCTAAAGCCCGGAGAAAAGTAAGCTCAGAGTTATGGGGTTAGAAATGAGAGTTTCCAGAACAAGCACAACGCTAGCTTCATTCAATAAGAGTCATAGTTGCAGAACGTTGCAGGACTAGATACGTAGCAGTAAGAACAACAGTTAGTGCGTGCAGGATCAGCCTTCACCCAGAGACTAGATCTGGAGACCTTCAACGTGCTGTAAGGTTGAATCCGTTTTTGGCCGTCATCCTAAACCCTAAACCGTAAACCCTAAACCCTAAACATCCCTAAACCGAACAAAAAGAACCGAAAACGTTCAGCCTCCCTGAAGCCAGGATGTATTCTTGGAGAGTGCGGAGCTGAGGGGTCCTCTCGCAGAGGGTCTTGGAGGTTTTGGGAAGGCTTTAGGGCTATGTAAGCGTTACTACAAAGGGTTTCCATAAGGGTTACTATACAAGGTTACCATAAGGGGTACTATAAGGGGTACCACAAGGGCTGCTACAAGGGACTCTATAATTCTAAGGGATACTACAAGGGATACCATGTAATTTTCACGGATGCTATAAGGGATACTACAAGGGATACTATAAGTATATGGGATACTATAAGGGCTACTACGTACTGCTTTTAGGTGGGTGAAGGCTGATGGCTCTTGAAAGCTCGGTGCCTTTGCTGCTTGGTGCCTCCATGTGTCGTGTCTCTTTCTAGCCTTGTCTGGACCCATAACCTTTAAACCCTAAACCCTAATCTTTGTTTCTATCTGTCGCAGTCTGCAGTTTCAGACCGACAATAATGAGCACAAGAATTACCTGCAGAATGTTGCGGTTGTTGTGGGTGTTTGCAGGCCCAGGACTTTGTCCGTCGTCCGAACGTTTCAATTCAGGTCTATGCCGGTTTCCGTGAGAAATTAAGTTTTTCGTGTTCGGCTTTCGAGTGCCACGGTGGTTTTTCGGTGTGGGCTTTTTTGGGCATGTGAGAGACTTCCTCAGGTGATCAGCTCAGCGATCAATATCTTTGTCGCTGCCGCTTGCCCGGTCTTCTCAGGATTTTCAAGCATGGCTTGAGCCATAGTCGCCTCCTGCCGCAGAAACCATCTGTAATCTGCAGCCGTCCTAGTATCACTAATCGATTCGCATGTCACGCTGCATTTGCTGATCCATCGAGAGCAACTAGATAAGGTCGTGAGAGTCTCGCTGTGTCCCAGCATTCCTGCCTCTTCATACTGCCTCTTCTGCGCCTCGCAGACTTGCAGTTTTCAGCCGGTGTGCCAACCATAACTCATGTAGAACTGTTGCATGCAAATCTGTCGATCGTCGAGCCAGACGATCGAACGGACCCATGCAGAGTTTTCACGCGCAATCATCTTGATGTGTCTAGCTTGCTCGCGTCACACCCCCAAGCCACACATGTGCACCTGCCCCTTCTCCC